AGCATTACTAAAGGCAATCTTTCTTGTTCTTGAAGTTTATTGAACATTTTCGGACAATACAGAAAATAGAGCAAAGGAAAGCACAGGTTGTAAAGCAGTTACAGGAATGGAGCACCAGGCTCCAAGGTCAGTTACAAAAGGCATACATATTAAAACGATGGCCACTCATTATAGCAGGACACAATAAGTAATGATGAAATATAAAAGCTAAAGGGTGGACCGTGGACGATTACGAATAGATATTGTACTAAACTGCAGAGTAAATAGGTGTGAGACCAAAGGAGATGGGGGTGTTCAAGTGGTACTTTTAAAAAGTGCCCAGGTACAAAGAAAACAAAAGCAGATTGGGGGGGAGGTATTGGAAAGGAAAAGGGGGAAGTGGTTCCCGGGGAAAGGCCTGCCAATAGACCCCAGTCAGCAGGTATGAAAATTGAAGAGAATAGCTGTTAGGGTAATAGCAGGGACTCATTGAAGTTTGAAGGGAGAAACTACTTACCTTAGGCATCCATAGGATTTCGTATTTTCTCCAGATTTCAATTTTAGTATGGATCACGGCCTGGGTGACTTTGTGTTTTGTCCCAACTCTGTGAAGGGAAGGGGTTTTCCATGCCTTTGCTATAGTTTTCTTGGCTGCAGTAGGGAAGCTTAAACTTAAAAAAAGCAGAATCTTTGTTTGTTTAAATTAAACCAATTGACCCTCAATGAATCAGTGTACGTGACATGACATTACTGATTTTTAGGAATGACCCTTATTAGATGTCCAATGCCACAAATTGAGCTCTAGCAAAATTAAGCACCAGCAATACTTGGGGCCTTATGTGTGAAAAAGGCAAATAAACACTTTACTTGAGGCTAATAGCAACCAAACAGCTTCCAAATATCATTTCTACAGTGTAGAATTAAAATGAATAAAGAATTCCATTAAACAATCTGGTCTGCGTGTTTTTATGCAATCCTTTAGTTCTTACAGTTGTATTCTTTTTTTTAAAGAATACGAAGAGTGGTTTATGCTCTGACTGCCCTGCGTACAATCAGTAATGGGTTGCACTGCTATTGTTGTGTGAAAGCTGTTCTGGCAAATTTATCTCCCAAAATGGCACCTGCACTGACCAGACACTCTCATCACTTGGTAGAGACAACTCCATCAGACAAATGGATATATTTTCTTGCTTCAGTCAAGTAACCACTGAGATCAATTATCTTTTTTAACTATCTGTATTCTTCCCATGTAAGGGGCATTCATCCTCCCACTTAGTATAAAAGTTGGGACATCCTTTGCAATGGCCGCTAATGTAAGAGACCTTTTCCTCCCACTGACTAGCTTTGGCACTTTCTTCAATGACCTTGAATTTAATGGCCATTCTTTCTTCCACAGACAACCATTCTTCCCTCTTTCCAGTATAAGAAACATTTTTTCCAGTGAACACCAACATAAGGTATATTTGTCCCAGTGACCGCTAGTACCAGGAGCATTCATCCTCCCAATAATCACCAATGTAAGGAACTACTCACATTGACCAGCATTGTAAAGAGCTTTCTTTTCAATGATCACTGATGTAGGGGTTGTTCTTCCCACTGACCTCCGATGTAACAGGGCATTCTTTCTACTGACAATCAACATAAGGAGCATTCTACGCAATGTAAGGGGTTTCAATCCCACTGGCCCCCAATGTAAAGGCCATGAAACACTTTTTTCTACTGGCTGCCAATGTAAGTGTAATTCTTTCTATTAGTCACCAATTTTAAGAGCATTTTTCCCAATGACTACGTAAGTAAATCACATTCATTCAACTGGACATCAGTGTAAGATCATACATCCCACTATCCACTAGTGTTAGCAGCATTATTACCCTCATCAACCACCAATGTAACACAGCATTCTATCTGCATCTAAACACCAGTGCAAGGGAGTCCCTTCCTCCACTGTGTACTTATGTAGGGGACACTTTATTGACCACCAATATAAATGGGTTCTTTTCCACAGACCACCATTGTAAGGAGGTATAACATTCTTCACCAATATTAGGGAAGTTTTGCATTGACCATCAATGTTGACTACCAATATACCAGGCCACTACAATAGAGCACATCTCTATTGACTGCCAATGTGGGGGGGGGGGGGGCACTTTTCCACTGACCAACAATATAAAAGGAAATTACAGTCTTCACTGTCTGCGTTTCCTTTCTGTTCATTGTTAATAATAATTAAATTTCATGATTATTACTAAAAAAATTCTGTCATACTGACAAGAGTGTTAAAAAAAATTCCACCCTAGGTGTCACTTGTACTAGGTACGCCACCATGAAAGCAATACACTTGAAGGGTGAAACTTCTGTGGGCTGTTCTCCTTTTGCATATACACTGTAAATAAATTGATTAAGTTCAAAATAAATTATGTGAGTTTAAAACCTAGGTATAGTTTAATCCATAAAAATATTTCGCAATTCATTTTTCCCCATTTCATGTGCATGGAAAAATCTGTTTAATGTAATAAAATTAAGTGATCCAACTCCAACAGCAATATATGCCAAAGCAATTTATCAGCAAAAATGAATGCCAGCTTCATTACAGCAAATTTCATCTGGATTGTGCAACTTTGTGTTGCCGGGCAGCTTACCCATGCTCTCTACTCCCATGCCTGCTGACCTTGTTTTTCCGAAATGTACATGATTCAGAGTACGCCCTGTACCACGCCTTATTTATTCCATAGCGCAAGGGCAGAAGAGAAGAAGAGGGATATTGCTATATTTTTTCTGAGTCTGTTGCTAAGTCTGTGTATTAAAACCTGCCAACTTAAATAACTTATGTCTGAGATCACCTAACACTGGGACATTTGTTAAATAAATTAAATTTTACATTAAGTAAAATAATGTGCAACTTACATGTAATCATTCTCAAATAGGAAGATGTATTTCTTCTTTTTTTTCTGCTTTTATCACTATACTGAATTACAGCCCCTGTCCTTGAGTACCCTAAAAAAAAAAAAAGTATAACATTTTGGCACACGACTGCAGCTAGTACAATTAGTCAAGAGAGAAACATTCATTTTTCATAACACAACTGAAGCATACTGGTTACACAGTACTCCACTGGCTTAAAACAGTGTTTAAAATGTCCAAAGCAGTCACAAATCCAATCTTTCACTGCAGAAGTCAACTATAATTAATGGACTAAGTTAAATTGTTTTAAAAATGTACTGTAAATCTAAACAAACCAAGAGAGCCCTAGTGCCATATATAGCTGTGTTTCTACCATTGTGTTCAATTGTTGCATTTACAGTGGTTTATGGAGATAAAAGCCTTCCATAAAAAAAGATACATTGAAGTAGTTAGTAAAATGACGACTGGTCACAAGCTATGTCATTTAAAGTACCCATTAACCCACTTTAGCTCCTGAACAGTTAGGATAGAGTAGTAGGTTGTGGTAATATGTTCTGACTACAATTATTGCAATTGACTGAGCCAAATAAAGTTACAGTCTTCAACTGTATCCAAAGCCAAAACGACTTTCTTCATCTTTCAAAAGAATTGCTAGGGGTTAGAACATTTGTCTATTTTTTTGCCATCCCTCAGGAAATGTAATTCTATGGGGGGGATTTACTAAAACTGGAGAGTGTGAAATCTGGTGCAGTTCTGCATAGAAACTAATATATAACTGCACTTGCACTCAGATATTAAACCACAAAGAAAATAAAACAGAATTAAAAGCAGCTTGCACATAGATAGGTAGTGTTACAATTTAAAATGAAAAAATGCAACACTATTTATGAAATCATATTAAAGTCAAAATAAAGTCCATATAAGTCCCCAAATGAATGGAACCAAGTGCATAAAAAGATTTTGATATAAAAACCTTCACCATACACCCGAAACAGATTGGCCTGTTGCCAGACAATTTGACCGTACAAAACCGGTCAGCAAACGCAGTGTGATATAACATCAATACAGCCAACGATCCTCAGTAGAAATTCTCTCCCAGATGAAAGATAACTTCTCCACTTTTAAAGCTCTCCAAAATAAAAGAAACTCCGACAGTCAGGAAATAAGTAAAAAGAAAAGGCAACTCTTAGTGCAGTAGTTGAATTAAACTTTAGCATATTTATTTGGGATCCACGTACATCAAAGTGTAAGATAGCCAGCACTGAAAAACAGAAAGTTTCAAACCAACAAGATGGCTGCCATCCCTCCAGAGCGTGGTGACGTCACACACCGAGGCTCCACCCAATGCATTTTGTCATCAGAAAGACGTCATCAGGGGCATGACCAGCTTGACGCACCGCTACCTATATATAGGGCTCAGAGGGACACTCCCCCTAATCCTACTAAAAACAATAAAACATAATGAATAAAGAATAATTAAAAATAAATTAAATGAAAAATGCATGGTTGAAGGAGGAATTAACCTCCAGAGGTAACCACATTAGACAAGAAATCTCTAAATTAGAGATTTCGCGAATTTACTCCCTTAACCTCCCTAGCGGTCTGATTATGTCCATAATTCTGTGCTCAAAGCGGTACATTTTTTTTGCATGGAAATATGTATTTTTTTTATTGTAGGCCTGTAATTTTTAGGAATAACTCAGTGAAATCTGTCCGAACAAGAGTCTAGTAAACATCCCAGGTATGATAAAATTTGAAACACGAAATCATAAATTATAATTTAATAAATAATCATAAAAAATAATAATATAATAATAATAAATGTAATTCAATAATATAATCAAACCAAAAACACTGAAATTTGAAATATAGCGCCAAGTTCGCACATCACTGAGCTTAGTTGCAAAATCGTTTTCAGTGTCTGATGACGAATTTCCCCACAAATCATTATCACTCAATTCTGCAAGTGATTCTAGTTTACTATCGCTGTTCTCTAGCTGGTCTAAAACCGCTTTTGACATAAAGGGATGCTTTTTGGACGCCATGGACGTTTCTCAGTTTCCAGGCAGAAAGAACAGTAAAAATGTAGGCAGGGCACAGGACAAAGCACTAGGGACAAAATGTATGTGAAATGGTTTGATACAGTATTGTTTTACTATGTGATTTTAGTGTATTTAGTGAATGTCACTTTTTGTCATTTTCAAATTTCCCGCCGTTCCGTCCCCGTACGTCCTGACATCGCAGGGAACAGAACCCAGACGACAGATGCCGGCATCTGCCGGAGGACATTACAGGGGACACTGCAGGAGGGACATCGCAGGAGCGCAGGACAAGGTAAGTGATCGAGGGATCCCGGAGGAGCGCCATATGGTAAGCCCGAGTGTAGCTCGGGGTTACCACTTTTGGTACTGAAACTTTACCCCGAGCTACACTCGGGAATACAGTCAGGGAGGTTAAGCCCTACCTTCCTTTCGGCCTGAACATAGAGTGGGACGTTAATGCTTTCATTAACAACAGTTGAATATATTGTTTTTATTTTTTATTGAATTTATTTTTAATTATTTTTTATTTATTATGTTGTATTGTTTTTAGTAGGATTGCAGTGTAATTTGTTTTTGTACCACAGGATGGCCATATCCCTTCAATATTAAAGTTATTCCTGCATGTTTTTATAGTTTTAGTCCTTATTGATCGACTTTTCTTTTATATTATTAATAAATTATATTTTTTTAATCCCTTGTATTGGATTTGTTTCCCATATAAGGTTTTCCTTTTTTCCTCCAATCTGTGAAAGTGTGTTATATTTCTGCTTCCTGACGCTGGATTGCGTTCCAGTGTGTGGGCGGGCTCCTTTTGTGGTCCGTTCCGTCCTCACTTCCTGTTTCGAATATGTCTTCCGTTGTGTGGAACGCATCCCGATTAAGAGGAGTGTCCCTCCGAGCCCTATATATAGATAGTGGTGCATCACGCTGGCCATGCCCCTGACGACGTCTTTCTGATGACGAAACACGTTGGGTGGCCGCCTCAGCGTGCGACGTCACCATGCTCTGGAGGGATGCCGGCCATCTTCTTGGTTTGAAACTTTCTGTTTTTCGATGCTGGTTATCTTACACTTTGATGTTCATGGGTTGCAGTATTGATGTTATATCACACTGCATTTGCTGACCGGTTTTGTACTGTCAAATTGTCTGGTAGGAGGCCAATCTGTTTCGGGTGTATGGTGATGGTTTTTGGATCAAAATCTTTTTATGCACCTGGTTCCATTCATTTGGGGACTTATATGGACTTTATTTTGACTTTGATATGATTTCATAATTAATGGTGCATTTTTTCATTTTCCTGCATAGAAATTAATCAGCCTCCAGGCTTTATTGATAAAGCTTAATTGAACAAGCTGGAGTTAGAAGATTATTAGCTGCCATGCACAGCTGCACCAATTTCTGAGTTCTGCAGTTTTAGTAAATTTCCCCCTATGTGTCCTCATGACCACTATTATCAGAACTGAAAGTGAAAAAATTCTAAATTTTGAGTTGTCAACAGAATACAAATAGAGAGGAAATGTTCCAAAGGAGATGCTTGTGCTGAGGACAAATGTCTAAAAGGGGATTTACGGACATGAAATTATTGGTAAATGAAGGAATTTTTGTTTAATGGATTTTACGTATACCTTTTAGGAAACATGCTGAGAGAAACCTGAAGGCTGCCATTGCTGTGTTCTTTTTCTAAACATGTTCTTTGCCTGTCTGCCTGCCTGCAATGCTAATCTAATGTCTTCAGTTCTTTCTGAATTACTGACCTGGAACAAGCATGCAGATCAGGAATTCCAACTTTAGTTTAACTTTGTTTGCAGCATATTTAAAAAATTTTAACTAGATCTAGGTTCTGACAATCAAATATATATTTTGAACTGTAAAATTTTACCTAAAGTGTGCATGCACATGGAAAGAAAGCACCAGTAACCATACAAAAAGGCAACAGAGACAGACAGTGTTTCATGCAGGATTACTGCACAGTTTTGGAAGAAATACAGAGATTCCTGTAAGAAAACACATAGCTCTTTTATGTAGACAATATTTGTTTAGCCTGGATTTTTGATTCATATATTACCAAGCCATCTAGTTAACCACATGCAAGTTGTGCTCTGACTCTTTTTAGGTAGAGGTACAATTGTATTATCTTTTTTTACACATTTTAAGTATAGATTCTTTATATCATTGAATTAGTGGCCTTGAATCAACTGGTGCAAAATGTCAGGAACATTGAAAAGACATTTTGCTGTATTCATTTGAAGTATGTGTTCTTTAATATTTCCAAAAAGGTCCACTAAACTACTAACAATTGTCCCTAGCATAACTCAGTGTCATAGGAGTCCATTCATATAGCAGGGGTATGGACTTCACATTATGAAGTAATGTGCTTTACAAATGTGCTTAGTGCTCTGCTGGCTTTGAAGACAAAAAAGATGGATGGAAAGCCTGGTCAAGTCATGTAACTGACATTTGCTTTAATGGGACAATGAAGGCTCAACACCAGCACCTGCATTTTATGAATGGGCCGTAAAATTCAGGCCACAGTAGGGAATAACCATGTGATACATAGAGGAGAATGTATAACAAAAACTGTTCTTTAGTATAAACACCCCCAAAGTCCTGGTGAATAAAAGGTGACTTCAGGCAAGTCAGACGACTGCAATGCCATGATAGCAATGAAAGTCACATAAATCCAAGTTTACCATACATTAATGATCTTTAGGGTATATAAAGTGTAAACCAATTTTAAAAATGAAAAACAAAACAATAAAAAATGGACAAGTGAACAAAGCTAATTGAACATTGTCTCAAATTTTTTCAGCTCAGCTTTACAACTGACTGAACTCTGGGGGTAGATCAAACTACTTACTAGCATTTCCATGTGCAATTCCTGGTGGATTGAAAGTAGTTAAAATGTACTTAAAATTTCCCTGTGTATGGCAATTTAAAAACAAATTGACTCTGAATGTTTTTTACTGTAGCCATATCTTCAGCCTGTTATATCATGATTAGAGATGAGCGAATCGAACTTGGCGAAGTGGAATTCGTTTCGAATATTAGGAAAAATTCGATTCACACCGAATACGAATATTAGCAAACTTCGGATGCGCGAATCAAATTTTTCCCGATCGGCCGATTTTCATCCCTTCTACAGCCGGCAAAAGTGTCCCTGCAGAGAGCTCCGCTATTTCTGACAGTTCTCTGACAGTTCCTTCACATTTACAGCGGTTGAAACATTGTATCTATTTGTTTCCATTTAGGATACAGATGTTTTTATTCGGAAACAAATAGATACAATGTTTCAACCGCTGTAAATGTGAAGGAACTGTCAGAGAACTGTCAGAAATAGCGGAGCTCTCTGCAGATACACTTTTTGCTGTACTGGAATTCTTTCTTTTCATTCTTCTTCTTCTTTTCATTCTTCTTCTTCTTCTTCTTCTTCTTCTTCTTTTCATTCTTCTTCTTCTTTTCATTCTTCTTCTTCTTCTTTTCATTCTTCTTCTTCTTTTCATTCTTCTTTTCATTCTTCTTCTTCTTCTTCTTTTCATTCTTCTTCTTTTCATTCTTCTTCTTCTTCTTTTCATTCTTCTTTTCATTCTTCTTCTTCTTCTTTTCATTCTTCTTCTTCTTCTTTTCATTCTTCTTTTCATTCTTCTCATTCTTCTTTTCATTCTTCTTTTCATTCTTCTTCTTCTTCTTTTCATTCTTCTTTTCATTCTTCTTCTTCTTCTTTTCATTCTTCTTTTCATTCTTCTTCTTCTTCTTCTTCTTCTTCTTCTTCTTCTTCTTCTTCGTCGTGCCCCGTGACTGCCCAAATGAGTGAAGTGTGCGGTGATTCTAAGATCGACGGCACTCATCTGCATATCATACTGACTGACAGTATTATTTCTCTTCCCCAGCAGACTCAAAGGGCATTTAAATTAAAGGTACAGTGTTCTGCACTAATATAAAGGCTCTCTGAAGCCTAGAAACCCTTTTAATAAGTTAAATTCGCAGCGAATAAATTCGCATCGAATCAAATTTCTTCCGCAAATTCGGCGAATCAGCCGAATCGAATTTTTGAATAATTCGCTCATCTCTAATCATGATATAACATCTTCCTCTCCAGCATCCTGGAATCCTAAATCATACTCTGCAATGTACATTGTAAATGTGCTGATATATAGTTGGTTATATACACTGCTCAAAAAAAATTAAAGGAACACTTGAAAACACATCAGATCTCAATGGGGAAAAATATCATGCTAGATATCTATACTCATATACTCATACTCATATGGACTGGGTAATGTGTTGGGAACGTAAGGATGCCTCATCGTTTGATGGAAATTAGAATTATCAATCTAAGAGGACTGAATTCAAAGTACCCCTGAAAATCAAAGTGAAAAAATGATGCAGCAGCTAGTCCATTTTGCCAAAATCTCATTGCAACAACTCAAAATGGTACTCAACATAGGGGCATGGTCCTAATGAGACAACGGATGGTGTACTGAGGTATTTCCTCCCAGATCTGGACCAGGACATCACTGAGCTCCTGGACAGTCTGAGGTGCAACCTGGCAACATTGGATGGACGGAAACATGATATCCCAGAGGTGCTCTATTGGATTTGGATCAGGTGAGCGTGGAGGCCATTCAATGGTATCAATTCCTTCATCCTCCAGGAACTGCCTGCATACTCTCACCACATGAGGCTGGGCATTGTCGTACACCAGGAGGAACCCAGGACCCACTGCAGCAGCATAGGGTCTGACAATGGGTCCAAGGATTTCCTCACGGTACCTAATGGCAGTCAGGGTGCCATTGTCTAGCCTGTAGAGGTCTGTGTGTCCCTCCATGGATATGCCTCCCCAGATCATCACTAACCCACCACCAAAACAGTCTTGCTGAATGATGTTACAAGCAGCATAATGTTCTCCATAGCTTCTCCAAACCCGTTCTTATCTGTCACATGTGCTCAGGGTGAACCTGCTCTCATCTGTGAAAAGCACATAGGGCCAGTGGCGGAACTGCCAATTTTGGTGTTCAATGGCAAATGCCAATCAAGCTCTATGGTGCCGGGCAGTGAGCACATGGCCCACTAGAGGATGTCGGGCCCTCAGGCCACCCTCATAAACTCTATTTCTGATTGTTTGGTCAGAGACATTAACACCAGTGGCCTACTGGAGGTCATTTTGTAGGGCTCTGGCAGTGCTCATCCTGTTCCTCCTTGCACAAAGGAGCAGATACCAGTCCTGCTGATGGGTTAAGGAGCTTCTACAGTCCTGTCCAGCTCTCCTAGAGTAACTGCCTGTCTCCTGGAATTTCCTCCATGCTCTTGAGACTATGCTGGGAGGCAGCAATCCTTCTGGCAATGGCATGTATTGATGTGACATCCTGTAGGGTCCAGGTATTGCCTCATGCTACCAGTAGTGACATTGACCCTGGCCA